TCTTCAGTCACTCAGGCGTTCTCTTTGGCATCTCACTTCACTTCTAACAGGCCGGTGTCCTATAACTTTTAGATGTGTCCTTTGTCCAACACACCTGAATCAAATTGCATAATTAGCTCCTCAGAATACAGTGAATTTCTACGGAGTAACGGTCGTAACCTGCTGGATTCAGGTGTGTCGAAGGGAAAAGTTGCAGGACATTGGCTGGTGATTGGGACCCCTGTGTTTAAAAAGCTTTAAACCACAGAAGCGACATAACAGAAGATTTTAATGTTTTTTTAAGCTGTAACTTTTTAAAACCTCAGTATACCTTGGCAAATATTTAAGAAAATGTTGCTTCTGAGGGGACAAATATTGGCAAATATTTAAGAAAATGTTGCTTCTGAGGGGACAGTGCTGCCGTTATTATAAACAGCAGCCACAGACTCTCTGATTCTAAAACGCATAGTAGTTTTTTTTTTTTTTTTTTCCGTCTTTCGGCTCAAACTAAATATGCTCACAATAATGTTATAGTATTTGACTGTGCAAAAATAGCACTCAAGTACCCGAATGCAAATGCTTGAGATGAACAGATAACATGAAATAGCAGCAGAAGAAATGAGTGAAACCTTCATGAAAACTATCTTTGGCTCTGATAACTGCACTCAGATGGAGTTTGTAATAATAATGAAGATCATTTGAGCAAAATGGAGATTTATTTTTCTGCTCGGTTATTTTCGTACAGATTTTTTTTTTTTAAAGAGCTACTTAAAAGTGCTGGGAAGTATTTTTCCAAGTCCGAATATGTACGGGGAAAATAAAATGCAGAACAGAATAATATTTGCATAATACTACATTTCATGCCTTATCATTTTGTCTCATCCATCCATCCCAATTGTGAAATCCATATTTAAAGCCTAGCAACTATAAACTATGTGCCATGAATTTATATTGCATGTGTGTTTTTCCCTAAAAATGGCTACGCAGTGGTAGCGCTGGAGATTTTTGTGTGGAAAAGCGTGAAATCTTCATGTTTAACGATGTGTCTGCTATTTCTTTAAATTGTATTTTTCTCCAAACTGATTCACTTTCAAAGTACAAAAGAAATCTCATGCTATTAAGTGTCAAATTTTATGTTCCAAGATCCTAAACTAAATTTACTGCGTTGGGGATTGCCAAAGAAAAGTTAATTTGGTTATGTCTCGCATGTAACAAGACTCTCATAAATGCTAGTACTTTAATTTTTTCCAGTAGTGTATTTGCAACTGTGAAAAAAATGTGTTAATTTATGTAGGAAAAAAAGGACTTGTATTAGATTGAGGTTCTTAAATAACAACTGAGAATTGAATGTTTCCCTCAAACTGGAGCTACTTTTTCTCATTTAACCAGTTTCACAGTTCCACCCTCATTCTGGCCTTGTACTTTCATCATGAATATTCATTGTTGTAAACACGGTTGTTATGAATAATGCAACACCCGCTGTAATAAATTCAGGACATGCCATTTCAGAGCACTGAGAGGGCCTCCATGCAGGCTCCAGTTAGACAGGCTGCCTTTTTCCTGTTGTGGAAGCATCATTTTAGATAATAATAAGAGTCTTGTGGTGCCCTAGGACTTCTCATGTTTCTGGGGAATTAAAAAAAAAAGAAGAAAAAAAAAGAAAAGAAAATCCACTCTGACTTTACAATGACATGAAAAACTTGTTAAATATATTCCAATTAGCAGGAATTTTTTTTTTTTGTAACACTAATACAAAAAATAAGCAAGCTCAGGTCATCTTTTAAGCATTTAATAGTATTAAAATCCTAGATGGAGATAAAAAGTAAAAGTGACAACATGTTTACAATGTAGCAACAAGAGATAATCTTTAAGAAGGCTTTCGGGAAAAGTAGGGAAAGGCAAGTTGTTGCATGTTGCAGGCAATAACTGTCAAGTTGTTCCTAACGGATGACATGCCTCAGATATAATTAAGATCTGGAGTAAACTATTGCTGGTATTTTATTGTAGCTTGTTTTAGCTACAAACAGTGAGAAGTGAAAACCGAGGTCTTGTGTAGGAAAAGATACCGACTAGTAAGAACATTGTTGCTTTGCTGAGCTTCCTTTGACTTGCTATGGAGCAGAAGGTTCAGAACGATGAGTAACCACCTGAATATCCACGAGTTAATATAAATGTCATGTCCCTCATCAGTGACGTTCATGTGAATTTAAACTGTAACAGCGAGTCATGCGGCTAACCTCTGCTGCATGTGCTTAATGGAGGGCTTGTCCTCCCTGAGAAACGTACTTTAATTTGCTCGGATTGGATTTTCCTCCTAGTCTACCGAAAGTTGCCTAATGACCACCCAGGAGAGAAACCACGGTAGCTTACAGAGGTGTTAGACCCATTACTGTTCATCAAATTACATGGCATGCTGTATATAGTTTTGCTCATTTGTGGACTCGGTCCGGCTGCAGCTTCTGGTCTTTGTGGCATGGTTTATTACACTCCAGTCTGAATCTGCTTGGAATATTCATAAAAATGCTGCACTTAGCTGGGAAGTTGTTGTGTTTTTAGGTTAATGGCCCCAAACTCACAGATAATTTGTCTTGCGCGTACATCCAGACCAATAAAAACAAATGAGCACGGTGCTCAGATTGACCTAAATGTACAGGTTGTCCGTGTAGTCTCGGCTAACCCTGAAAAACAAAGGTGCTAGTACAGAATGAGGATGCGCTAATTAACTTTTTGCTCAGTCTCGTGTCGAATCTCTCAGCTCACATTAATGTCCCTGCAGAATTCAGCCAGCCTTCCCGTATTACAACGCTAATGAGATAACGGTTTAAAATTCTCTGCGCAGGATATTTGTATAATGCATTGTTCCACTTTGAGGTTTTGCAAACCATTCAACCAAGGGGCCGTGTATGTGTAGCGCTGCCTATAACCAAGTTTGCATTCACTTCTTCTCTGCTTTCTCATTTGGTTGCTGGAGGACAAGAAGAGTCGTTTCTCAGCCTCCCCAGGCTTACCTTGTTCAGGCAATATCTTCAAAATCTTTTTATTGCAGATGGCATGAAACATGGAAATGCTCGTCTTTGAATAAACTGTTGACAAGTGTGAACATGTCACTACATTTAAACATGCTTCAGTGGTCATGTTTTATTTAAATCGTTTAAGTATTTATGTCTTGAAGGAAATAAGACTGATAAATAGTGTGAAGTGTATATTGAATATCAGAGGTGTTATGACAATTGGCATTCATCTAGAATGTGCCAGTAAAGTCCAAGTTGTCGATAAAAGGTGAAACAAGTTCTTTTTCACATTCAAATTTCCTGATACATGCAATATCAGGAAAACATGCAATTAAGATGGTATTGCCAAACACTGCTGTGATGTTATTTAGGACTATTCAATGATTATTTTCCCAACTACTTTTTGTGAAATTTATCATCTCTGCCACTAAAAATATACACAAGGTGTGAACATCAAGAGCAGAAGTAGTTAATCAAATAAGCCAAATATACTATTGGGATTCATAATTTGTAGTCATGTCACAATCAAAATTGTTCTTTGTGATATTGCAGGTATTGATATTGCAATAATAATTATGATTCCATATATTGTGCAGCTCTAATTGACACCAAGACCTGAGGGAATTTGAAGACGTATTTGCCAAATTCATAGTGGAAGAAACATGGATGATTCTGAAATGAAAGACATGAGTTTGTTTGACAGATTTTAGCTGATTTTGATTTTTCTTTCACAACTATAAATGAAAATCATAAGTTTTTATTTTCCTCCTGGTTAGAGTAGAAATGTAACTGAACAAAGCTTTTGTAGTAGAGGAAGAATTTTTTAAAAACCTCTGAGGGTGTCTGTCTCTACATCACAGACAATACAAATACAATAAAATCCTTGGGATTATGTAGAAAAATAATTGTTAGGGTCATTTTAAAAATGAATAAAAGTATTGTCTGGGTTAATGTGTGATTGGGGAAACCTCTCCTGTACTTTTGGTGGATTGTTAAATTTAAAATATTCCATTCATTCACTATTAAGGAGCCCTGTGAAGCATCTCTGACTGATTCATATTAGGTCCAGAAGCAATGTCACCTCATCTGTAAGTGAGAGAGTGCAGTTGGTGCTTCATAATTATTTAAAACTGTGATGTTTCTATAATATATGAAATATTCCATCACAAAATTTCTAAACGGACTAAAGTATTGCATAGGTGATGGTTTAAGCAGCTTTTAGCAACCTGTAGTATCATTCAGCATGACTGGTGTGATTACCATGTTTAGTAATAGCCATGCTAACACTTGCGTGTTCCCTGTAGGGTCACCATAACCTTTCCAGAAAGATTGCGAACAAATATTTGAACACTTGAAAAGGTTCAAGCTTAAGGTACTGCTGTATTCAGGCCTCACCCTGTTTAAAGGTAGCAGTCGGGACAAACAGCAGACTTGCTTCATTACAAAACAGTTTGGTTTTGAGCGTCTTCTTTACACCTTTCGTCTGGCTTCATTTTGAAACGTCTCAGTGACTTTAAAATCAGGGATGCACCGATGCACTTTTTTCACTTCCGATACCGATACAGATATCAGAGGTTTAGTATTGGCAGATACCGATCTGATACAGAAAAGCAGTGATTTTTTTTTTAAAAACACAAACATAAATGTTCTGAATTAAGAATTTATTTGATAATTATGCACCAATACAACACAGTTAAATATAAAAGCAGCTGCAAAAGCTTGGTGAAAAATGTAAAAACAACACAACTTTAATTTGTTCAGTACTTGTAATTAGGAGAATAACAGCAAATGTAAAATAATAAATGACAATAGGTTGACTAGTCAAACATATAAAAAGTTTAATTGCACTTTCTGAACCATTTGAAAGAACATTTTTGCAATTAGGAATTTCAAATATAATATAAAATAAATATAAAGCCGTGACGTCGCTCAGAGCACAAAGCATAGAATTAGGCTGAATAGATCTGTCCTCAAGGATTGTCATTGATACATGATCTAGACTTTTTTTTCAATATTGGAAGCAATACAGATATTGATATCAGATTACTGCATTGCTATTTAAAGTGGCCAACTTTGAGTCATGTTCCCTCAGTAACAACTTCTAAACTGAAGAGTGTTTCTTGAGTATGAGTGGTTAGTATTTCTGTATGGTGCGTTCAGTTATTGTTAAAAAGGTCGGGTATTTATTTGCTAGCTGGGCAATAAGTGATGTGGGCCAGCTTATTTCTCCGTGCATCTCTAATTTTATCTACATGGTTGAGATGAACATATTTTTTGTTAGCATACATGTAGAGAGAAACGAGGAAGAAAACATGTTTATTAGTATTTACCGTGGTGCGGTTATCAGCGTTGGTCAGCTGTGATTCGGTCAGGCAGTGGTTGGTAAGTACAGAGGTTGATTAGGCCTTTAGCCAGGAGCAGTTGCTGTGGATTTGGTCGGTAAGCCCCTTCCCCAGAAGACCCAAATCCAGCCTCACATTCCTCTCTGATTGGTTGGACACCTGTGCGGCTCTATGACCGGGCCGCTTCCCTGCCGCATTAACTCTCAGCACATGCTCCGAGTGAATTTTAAAAGGGGGGGCCCCCCAAAACGAAACACTAATGGAATGTAAAGCTAATCTAAATATGTTAATCCCCAAACACTTCATAAACATGGACGCCAGCGGCCCGCCACCCACTTTCTGAAGTCATTCGCTTTGGAATGTTTTCGCCGTGGGGGTTCTCACAGTAATGACAAGCTGCTGGTGGATTAATGTGGAGTTATTTATTTCCGATTGAGCGAGTCCAACACCCTCCACCCCCTCCGCCTTTTCCCTCTCCCCCCCACACAAAACCCAAACCTCCCCCTCCCTCCCTCTTTAGCAGTTCGGCCCAGTCTCCAGTCGCAGACGCTCCATCGAAGCAGTTCACCCAGCTAACACCGCAAACCCTCTGCTGTCAGACCTCACGTTGCATTCTGGGATGTCTTCAGCCCCTTTACCTGCTCTTAGCTAATTACTTTTTAGGCCAGTGCTCACACAATAATTGGTCTTGTGCTGCTTCCTCCCCTCCTTCTGCTGCACAGAGTGCTAGTTTGAGCACTTTCTTCCCTCTCTCTCTCTCCATCGTCCTTATTCCCCTGTTTTTTATCGTTCTCCAAAAGCCATCCAATTAATATGCTAATGAGCTGATAAATATTTATAGGGGTTTTAAATTATGCAGAGAGCTTTCAGAGCCCGGTGTGAAATGCGTTGCTCGCAGGACTTCAAAGCCTTGCATCACTAACGAGGCAGGAGTAGATTTGCATACGGCTTTAATCAGCTGAATACTGATTATGCTTCATTATAGAGTTGGATGGAGGGAGGAAAAAGAGGAGGGGGGTTCGGTGTTGAAGGAGTCCGCCAGCTGCACTTGTCGTTTGTTTCATTCCAGCAAGAGAGGGAGAGAGAGAGAGAAGTTTTTCAGAAGTAGAGGCAATCTTGGCAGCAGAGAGAGGGAGTGCTAGAGAAAAAGGGGGCAGAGCTGTAAGAAAAGAGGGGAGCAAGGAGAGCTGTTTGCCTAGACCCTGTTGGCTTTCCCAGTGTGCGTTTCCCAGAGTTGCTCAGCAGACCGTGTGGTAGAGACCGCCACTGTGTCCCTGTGTCTCTGTGTGTTTGCTGCTGACCAGTGGAGAGTGAAAACAAGAGAGAAGGGAGGCAGAGGCGGGGGGGCGTGGGAGGAAGGAGTGCGTTCTGGACATCCTGTCGGTGGGGTTGCCCATTCGGGCGGGTTGTATTCGACAGGTCCAGCAAGCATGCAGGAAAGCACAGGTGGAGCAAAAGCGGGTGAGTTTTTCTTTTTAAAGAAGACTGCGAGCGAGTTCGGCTGGGTTTTATTGTTTGGTTGGAGGCTAATCTGGAATATTGACATGCAAATGTTACAGGTTTTATCCGACACGGTTGTGACATCTTGCTTTTTTAAAATGAGTGTTCTGTAGCTTTTATCAGTGAGAATGAATGAGGACTTGAGGAGCAGGAGTAATATCTTGGGGCCAGTTGATATGAGATTATCTCATTATGTGTCTGTCTGGTTCTTTCAGATGCTAAAGTGAATAATCAGTCAGAAACTTCTAAATGTGAAATGGAAAGAGGTGACGGGAACACCGGTCAGTATCGATCAGCCTTTTTCTTTTTTTTTTCTTTCTTTCATTTGTTTTTTTTGTGTTTTTTTTTTTTGCACGGTGGAGATATTGAATTTTTCGAGTTTTATCTCCTCATTCAACAGGTTTCAGAATCGGATCTGAAATTTATTTGAAAAATGTTGGCAACACAAAACCATCCTGTTAATCTTTGTAAACTCATTTGATCAGCTTTCCAAAATTTCCATTATTTTTATTTTTCGTTTTGTTTTGTTTGGTTTTGTTCCAATGCTTTAGTGACGTTTCGCTGCAACTATGTAACCTTACGTTGAATACTGAAGATAAACATTTGCATTCTTCCTGATATATGCTTTGAATTCCTGTGCAAGCTGCAAATGTGAACTCTTTATTTAATCAGTAACGCGCAGCTGTTTTCATATGCATTTAAAGAAACATTTCTTCCCACCTGCAGATATTTTCAGTGTTCCTCTTTTTGTTTTTTAACTGCAGTGTCTTTTCTCGGTTGAACCGCTGTTACAAACATGTCTGTGTTTCTGTGCCTAGGAGTCCAAACCAATGGACTGGACTTTCAGCGGCAGACGGTGCCAACCACAATCTCTAACGCACATGCACAAGCCCTCTTCCAACAGGTACCACATCGCACATGCCTGCATGAGCTGCAGCATTCACTTTTACCTTTCAAAAGTTCTTGTTTTAATCCAAGGAGCAGCCTTGTTACAGGAGACTACAGCTTTAAATATTCATAAAAGTAGTTGCATAAAAAAAAAAAAAAGAGAGAGAGATGCAATTCTAGGAGAGGTATGCTCATCAGCACGACAACATTTGCAAGCAAGGAGTTCATTTAAATGAGCCAGGCTCTCTCAGTGTCGCCTGGCAACAAGGCAGATTAATCAACCCTGTATGCTAATTAAGCTGCTCTGCGGTTGCTCGGAAACAGATGGCAGAGAATATGCAAATCTATGCAGAATTTACATGCACTGCATAACAGTTATTTTAATTAGCATCTCTGCTCTTCCCCTCCCTTCACTTCACTTCTTCCTGTCTCTGAAGGCTGCGACACATTTTAAATGCCCACTTTTATCGCTGTCTGTCTTTTTTTCTTTTTTTTTTTTTTTTTAATTGAAATTCCTCTCACTGCTTAAAGACAAAAGGTGCAGTCTGACCGAGCCACTCAGGTAGCAGAGAAATTAGATTTTTATCGTCTTGGTTCTCCTTGTTTAGCACGATGCTTCGTTTCTTGATCTGATTTGCTTTAATTAAAAAAACATCAGTGTCTTGCTCCTATATTTTATGATTATGACTTAAAAGGACATAAAATTAAGTTTGGCTCTCCGCTTCACTTCTGCCAGTCGAAGTCGGAAGACTCGGGTGCTCTTCCTGCCTCCGTCCAGCAGAGCGTGTTGCCTCAGACCCAGCTAATGTTGGCAGGGGGACAGATTGCTGGAGTAAGTGGCCCCCCGCCCCCGCTGTGCTCGGTCACAACCTCGTCGTTGCGTGCATCCCCCCCCCCGTGATCACCTTTCAATACGATCAGTCCTGCTGGAGAAACATAGCTGTCTAAATGATGGGTTGATAAGTTTGAGCCTTCTCCACCTGTCTGCCTGCTCATCTCTGTGGTTGTTGGTTTATGTTCAAACGTCTCCATAAAAGAAAGTGTAAAGCGAGCATTCGAGGCATTTCATTTCCATGTGTTTTTTTTTTTTTTTTTTTTTTTTTCTGAGAGGATCCGACGGCTGCTGCTGTGCGATGCGGGAGTGAATGTTTACTGTGCATGTGGATCTGTGTTTGAACATCGACGTCAACATGCTCATTCGCACTTTTGCCTGGCGCAGCTGCATGAGTCCTTTTCTCTGTTTTCCTGTGATGACTCATGTTTGTGCTTACAAAACAGCCTAAGCTTTCGTTTATCTTTGATATCTTTGTGAAAAGTTACATTCTTCAAGGACATTTAGAAAAATACTTGCAGTTAACACGATTCCGTGACTTGCAAAGGTATTCACACTTCCTTGATTTTTCCATGTTACGACCAGAGTTTACTTTATTAAGATTGTATGTGATCCACGGACAGAAAGTAGTAAATAACTGAAGTGGAAGAAACATGATTTTGGGGCTATTTGAGTTCATTTATTTATTTTTTACATATAATCTAAAAAGTGCTGCATATATTTATGTTCAGGCCCTCTAGTTCAGTACTTTGGAGAAGTACTTTTTTCTGCACTTACAGCTGCAAGTCTTGTGGTTTCTCCACCAAATTTGCTCAACTGGAAACTGAAATTTCTTTGTAAGGTAGTTCAAGCTTGGTTAAATTGATTGGAAAACATCTGTAAGCAGGAATTTTTAAATCTTGCCACAAATTTTCTAACTTATTTCGGTCTGGACTTTGATTGGACCAAATGAATATGCTTTGATCCAAACCAGCTTTCTGACTGAAGGGTCATTGTCTGCTCCCGCTAAAGCCTTTTTTCTTCCTTTAAATCTACCCATCTTTACACCAAGCATCTCCACAGCATGATGCTGCCACCTCTATGTGTGACTGTGGAGATGGTGTGTTTAGAATTATGGGTTGCCTCAGTTTTCTATAACATATAGTGTTTTAGATCTAGGAATAATAGTTAAATTGGACTTCTGATGGCTCTCTCTCAACTTTCTCACTGCCACTATTTAATTTTTCACGCGTAAAATCTCATCAGCTCCCTGACCCCGCTGAAGACGAGTATCCACACAGCATGATGCTGCCACCAGCGCACCTGAGAAGTATCAAAAAGGTGTAAATACTTTTGCAAGGCACTGTGATCGAAACGTTGCAGGAACAAAGCACAGCTACACTTGTGGTTTTGTTGCATCAACACCAACTGAAGTCAGTGTTGACATTTATTCAAGAAACGAACAATAACAACTTGTTGTAATTGATAGGAATTTACTTTCAGTATATTTACTGAAATATTTCCAGTAAATATACCCAAATTACTATCAAAACTCCCAGGCATTAAGTCATAAACTTATCTCACATCTGACACTAAACTTTTCATTGGTATCGAAGCCAAAGCACACTTCACGTTCCGTGCGATCTATCCTTAAACCTAAAGCGCATCACCTACTTCCTCGGTGTTTCCAGCCGCGCCGGTCTCATGCCTCCCGTGTGTGTTTCCCCTCAGTTGACCCTGAGCCCGGCGCAGCAGCAGCTGCTGCTCCAGCAGGCCCAAGCTCATCTGCTGGCTGCAGCCGTGCAGCAGCAGCAGCAGCACTCCGCCAGCCAGCAGAGCAGCACCACTGGAGCCAACATCTCGGCCACCGCAGCCACGCCGATCACCCAGCTGCCCCTGTCACAGCCCATCCAGATTGCCCCTGTAAGTCGCCACCCTCCCTACGCTTACAGTAAAAAGTTTCAGTCGGCTAATTGTGTGTGTGTGTGTGTTTTTATTTTTTATTTTTTTATGCAGCAGCTGCCGCAGAATCTAACCCTGCCTCAGTTTGTCCTGGTTCAGTCTGGCCACCCGATTGCAACGCCGTTGCAGCCCACTCAGTTTATCATCTCGCAGACGCCGCCGGCCCAGCAAGGCAAGTGGATTCACTCGTACGATTTAGAGGAGAGAAACATTAGCAGCATTTTGTTAAAACGTTCCTGTTGCATGTAACTCTTCAGGTATATTGCCAGCCCAGAGTCTTCTAACTCAACTACCTCAAAGCCAAGCTAACCTCCATCCGACTCAACCAAGCATTACCCTTGCAACTCAGGTAAGATATAATCAAAGTTTGTTTAGGTTGTTATCTTCTTATACATGTTTTGTTTATCTTTACTCCTTTCCTCTGCAGCCTACATCTCCAACTCGTACGACGGCAACCACCAACATTAAGAGTCTGCCCCACAGTCAGACGCCCCCCAAGCGGTTGGACACCCCCACTATGGAGGAGCCCAGCGATCTTGAAGAGCTGGAGCAGTTTGCCAAAACTTTCAAGCAGCGGCGAATCAAACTAGGCTTCACGCAGGTAAACGGTCAGGAGATTAATCTGAAAAAGATTTCGAGTTGGATTCACAAATGTGTGCTGGCAGTAAGCATCTCCAGTTGATTTTACATAGTTTGTGAAGGTAGGAAATTTGCTTTTTGATTTCCCAAATTTGTATGTAGACGTATTAAAGGTGCAGGATAATTTCCTTCAGATTTGATCAATCTTTTGGTTGCAGACTTTCAAATGAAGCTAAATGGAATTGGTACATAAAATGAAACTAGATAAATGTTTTGCACTCATTTCCAGAATGTAAAACTGGGAGGAGAATTTAAAGTTTGAAAAAGTTTGGACTCCGACCTGTAAATTACAAAGGAACCCTGTTTTTAATGTCACTTGTGTTTTTCTTCATATTTAAGGTATCATATACCTTTGGCACTTTTAGAGAAATATGTTACAAACCAGTACAGAGACATAAAGGAAGCCCTGCACATTTAGTTAGTATTCGACTCCAGTTTGAAGTCGTGCTGTTGAGTTACACCTAAATTACAACTTCCTGTCTTGTAGCATTATTAGCTTTCTGTGTCTGAACCAAGCTGAGGTTCAGGAGCTGCAGCAGCAGGGATGTAGGGAGGAATCGGCCTGCATACTCATAGATCCATGCTTATTAAATGAGGAAAAATATGTGAAAGTCACATGTAGGCCATTTTAGGCTCTGATCAGAATATTTTTGCGAATCTAAAAAAAAACAAAAAAAAAAAAGTTTTTAGAGGCTTTAATCAGAACTAGGAGACTAGAAGACCGTTAATAATTTATGACTCTCATATTTCTGTGTCGTTGTCTCCCTTCAAATCGCAGGGGGACGTCGGCCTGGCGATGGGGAAACTGTATGGAAACGACTTCAGCCAAACCACCATTTCTCGCTTTGAGGCCTTGAACCTGAGCTTTAAGAACATGTGCAAACTCAAGCCTTTGCTGGAGAAGTGGCTTAATGATGCAGGTTTGTCCCTAAGCCCACCTTGTTTCTTGAGTTTGAAGACAGATGGATCAATGTTCCAACACACCTGAATCAAACAAATCATCATGAGCATTTTGAAGAACTTGACCTCAATGACCCCAGTTGAAGGATGGTGGGTTTTGCATGATGTACTTTGCCTTTACCTCCCTCCTTTCCGTTTGTCGGTGCTGTTTGTGCAGATAACCTGACATCTGACCAGTCCTTGTCCAGCCCCAGTGCCCTGGGCTCCTCAGGCATGGGCATAGAGGGCATCAACCGCAGACGGAAGAAAAGGACCAGTATCGAGACCAACATTCGAGTGGCCTTAGAAAAGAGCTTTCTGGAGGTGAGAGCTTCATGTTCATGAAATCAAAAGTCCTGATTGAAATCCTTAAAAATGCTTGAATTTTTAAGGATAGACTTTTCAAGGTTTGGAAAGTGCATGACATCCTTCTGTCTGCATTGTTTTGTAATAAAGTTGCAGTAGATTTTTAGGAGAAAAGACTCCTTACAGAAAGTCAGGCGGTTATTTATATAGTGTAAGAATTTCATTTGAGCCACAAACAGATTTGTACAATGTAATGACAATTTATTATTCTTAATGGCTCAGTGAGTTATTGATTTGAGTAATTGAAATGAAGGTGGTCTTATATTTTATTCACTAAACTTATTGAAATTGCTGATTTTATTTTATTTATTTATTTTTTTGTTAAATCAATGTTTTGTTCTCAGACCAGTCGGGTGTAGAGAGAATTAAAATTGTGTTATATTTGTTTACTTTGTCCCTGCTATGCAGAACACTATAATAAGATATTAATAACAGTAATTAATTATGTCATTCAGTGGTGAATTGAAACTAATCTTTTTAGTTCATTTGTATAGTTTTTATCTCCAAAGTGTGGTGCTGAAAAAGTTTGAAAACTTACCTTTGAAACTCAGCAGCAGTGAGGTTGTTTTGGATGACGCAGCACTGCAGCTTCCTCAGTACTGACAGGGAATCCCTGGCTTCTTTGCCCTCTTCAAGCAGAACCAAAAACCTACCTCTGACGAGATCAGCATTATCGCTGACCAGCTCAACATGGAGAAGGAGGTGATCCGGGTCTGGTTCTGCAATCGCCGACAGAAAGAGAAGCGGATTAACCCGCCCAGCAGCGTCAATAACGGAGGAGGCAGCACCTCCATCAAGACCATCTTTACCCCCAGCAGCCCTTTGGTAGCCACACTCGCACATTAAAACCGTTCTTCAGCAGTGTCGGATCTTTTGACTGATCCGTCACACTTGATGCTTTAAGCTAAACTTAAAACAAGATGTGAACCCAGAGAAGGTCGCTGAGTGCTCCTCCGTATCCTCCTCTCCAGGTGGCAAGCACAGCAAGCCTTGTTAGCAGTCCAACTATTAACACATCCACCACCCTGACTGTAAACCCAGTGATGCCTCTCACCAGCACCAGTGTCTCCAGTTTGGCTTTCACAGGTTTGTGTTTGTTTTTAACTTTGACTGAAACCTTGAATCAGTCAATCTAAGCCGGGTGTCTGTTTCATTTATTTTTTAAGAGCAACTTTTGTGTTAAAATGCCCTAGCTGTAAATCTACACCTGTGCGTCTCGGCATGCACGAACTTATGAATAGGCAAATAGCTTCCTCTGTGTTGTACGCCTGCAGCTGCTGCATTCCTGCTTATGTTTAACTTTATTCAAGCTTGAAATAAGTTGCAGATATCGTCGATAACCTTATTGAATGTCAACAATCTTACATGTTTGTTGTTTTAGCTTCAGTAATGTTTTATAGAGTGTCTTTAACATTGCAGTGGGCTGTTGTGCAACTTTAAGTAGTTTTCAGTTGAAAGGAAACAGCTGCAGGCAAGTGTTGGAGGTTTAGGTGGGGACCACTTTGCATATTTATACGCATTTTAAAAGAGGACAAGCTGCAGAGTTGCAGTTAAACCATTTCGACATCACATTCCAGGGTTTCCCCCAGAAAACTTGCTAAGCCCGGTGGTGGGGGCATCGAGGCGGTCCACAGGCGATCTATCGTGTTTTTGTATTAAAAGATGTTAAGTTGACAGAAAATATTAAAGTATTACTGTGTAATTATATGTTACAGGAAAACATCTCCAGTGAAATGCTATTTAAACCTGCAACTAGTCTAAAAACAACAAATTTGCACTTCTGTTTAATCCAAATTAAGTCAGCAGCTCCATCAGGCCCCCAAGAGCTTTAGGGGCCCCATAAACGCTAATATTTTAAAACAGACCACAGATACATAAATGTAACACTGGTTTATTGAGATTATCAATACTGTTAAACTTGATTCATTTTCAGCATACATAAATGAAAAGAGTTTAAATTGTTTAA